CAGAATATCAATTAAATTAAACTCAATATATATTGATATTTAATTATTAAGTATGTTATCAATGATACAAACCGTGATAGGGCTTGCATCAAATGCATACAAAAAGTGTGAGGAGAGAGAGAGAGAGAGAGAGAGAGAGAGAGATTAGAATAATATAAAATAATATGATTTATACAATTTTATTACTTACCAGGGTATTCTTTAGTTAAATTTCTCACCCGTCTAGCTATTGATTCCAGAATATTTGCGCATGATATAGAAATCACCCAGGTAATACTTGGGATTGTCCACGAAAATAGCACCAGCAAGAAATAATGAATATTGATAACATTAAACAATGTTTTACTGTATACATCCGAATAAGAAACCACAATAAAGAAATACACAATTATGATGACGATAAAATGAAATAACCATATAATTAATACGGATATATAATCTATAAGTTTAATTACTCGATATTTACTTTCTATATCTACTATTAACTTTAATCTAGCTATTAATGCAAACCCTTTACTATTATTAATGTAGAACATGGTAACTGTCTTGTATAGAAATCCTATACCCAACGCAATCATTAGTACAAATAAGGTATAACGGAGTTTATCAAGATTAGGGTCTACAATGCTCATTAAGGTCAGAATGATCCTGATCAATAATGTTACAAGTAAACAATCAGTTGCAAATGAAAATGCAGTTACAATATATCCATAAATTTTCCAGAAAGTTCTCGCTGAAAGTTTACCGGTTTTGTCAATAGTTAATCCGCCAAACGTTATACCCATTACCCGATGTGTCCATAACAGCACACGTATAATGATAGTAATTGTAGTCATGATAATTGTATTAGATTTAACTATTATAAACTATACATTAGATTATGATTTGCTATAACAAAATGTTTATATAATTAATTTTAATATAATTAAAATTTGTCTTATTATTAAAACATAAAATATTTACTTATGCCTTTACACAAAGTTCTTCATACAATGCAAGTTATTTAATTAAACTAGATTAAATGTAAATTTAGTGAATAATTATACAAATGTGTTTGGTAAATATAATAAATTTAATTTCAATAAAATATTTTTTAACATGTACTATGTAATTAATTCAACAAATTGCTTACTAAATAAACAAATGATACACATTGATTATGTATTTTTCTAAATACTAAATCATGATTGTAAAAATAAATAATTTATAATCATATAAATAATAATTGTTATATTTTTATATTATCACAAACAATAAAATAATAACTAAACATAATAAGTTACACTAATATCATATTAATTTACAATATTAAAAATTGGGATGAGACGTATAGGTAAAAAAATTAGGAACGCTTCACGATTTTGCGTGTCATCCTTGCGCAGGGGCCATGCTAATCTTCTCTGTATCGTTCCAATTTTAGTATATGTCCCCCCGACAGGGGACAATATTATACATAGCTCACTCACTATTATACTTGTCAAATAACATTAATTATTAGTGTTACAGTTTGTAAATAGTAAATGATAAATAAGTATTAAAAACTTTACATGTAATGTAAATAAATATTTTATATGCTATAAAACTATTTCAAAATTCGTTTAATGTCTACCAGTACAATTTTGATAATTATAATATAAGTTAATGAATGTTATGTAATTAATTTGTTTGTATTACATAATGTGGACCTCGATATTGTTAGTTATTATTACGATTTACCAAGGTTATAACAATGCACCAATAACTGCCATTTATTTTAATCGGAGTCAAACACCGATTGAATGGTTAGAGTGTTTGCAAAAACTTAAAACCGTAGATCTCAACAAATATGTGATGTATTATACGGTCCCCACTCTCGGCACTGAATACCTCCCGGTGTCCGCACACCAGGCCTTCCAAACCAAGGAGTTTAACAAAGGTTTGATATTTTTATTAAAAATTGTATAAATGTTATTAATATTTTAACTAATTTATAAAGACCTGGAACTGTTGGCCGGTGCGGCCCAACACGAGGGGCCGCTAGTATTCGCCATTGATTACGGCTACACTCCCAGCAATTTGACTGAAAAAAGCTTTCACGCCATCGCACAGGCATTTGATATTAAGTTTCATAACTTAAATGTTGACAATATTATCACTTTTTACATGTCGTCCATCAATAAGTCGGATGCAGATCAAGTCCGGCGCCAACTCTACGACCTCTACGGCGATCTACTCATGACATGTCCGACACATTAGTTTGCCGTCAATTATGGCCAACAGTCGGCCGAAAGTAATGTATATTTTTATAAAATTGCATACAAAAGGACACCGAAGTCGGGTCCAGACATCATGGGTGTCACTCACGGCTCGGAACTGGACTTTGTCTTCGGTTTACCACTCATTGATTCGCAGAAAACTGATACAGAAGTAGACAAACAGTTTAGTCGGGATGTCATGAAAATGTGGACCGATTTTGCTAAATATGAGTAAAAATTTTGAGAATATTTTCAAAATTATTCAATTAATTATAACTATTTTTAATTGTATTACAAGTAAACCAACTGTCGATTGGCCCAAACTTATTGATTATAAAGCAAAGAATTATGTGCCGAAAGCCAAAGAACTCAATTAATACAATCTTTGGCATAATTTTTACCAGTTATTCAATTCAATACTAGTTATTCAATACTATTCTTTACTTGCGATGGCTTTTGGAAACACTACTGGAATTAACTAAAAAGTGTGCACTAATTTAAATGCAATATTAAATCAATTAAAATAAAACATTTATTAAATTAAACACTTAGTTTTAATAAAATTATTAAAATGTTAATTTTATGTTTTAAATGACCATTGTGAACATTAAATACAATTATATAATTTCAACAAATAATTTGTAAAAATGATCAAAAATTTTATTGACATAGTTTTCATTTAAGATTTAACTTACATGTTTGTTATGACATAAATATAATTAAAAGTTTATAGATTTTAAATGAATTTAAATAAATTTTTGAGTTTATCATGCAATCTTTACTCATGTATTGTAACAAATAATTAATTGCAACTATTGTGAATATATTTATGACTTATATTCATATGTCTTTTCATATTATTTATTTGTACAAAACTTTTATTACAATCATTGAAATGACAAACAAATGGTTTTTCTCCCGAATGAATGCGTTTGTGTCGAATTAAATTCGATTTTGATTGAAATTTTTTGCCACAATTTTTTTCATTGCATTTATACTTCTCGTTATTAAAATGAACATAATTTCTGTGTACAAATAAATGTGACTTTTCTGTAAAACTTTTGAGGCATTCATTGAAATTACAAATAAATCTCACATTTAAATGAATGATATTTTTGTGTCTAGTTAAATTTACATTTCGTGTGAAAGCTTTATTACAATTATTAAAATCACATTTAAATGGTTTTATTTTTGAATGAATTAATTGGTGTCGATTAAAATGTTGTTTATTTTGTGTCTTGTATTGACA